CATCCACTTTTTGCTTTGATTAAAAAACTCATAAGCTCACTGTGCTCTTCCATTTATTTATTTAAATTTTGATGCAATAGAAGGAATTTGTGCACACTTTCTTTGTTATAATGTCTATTTGTTACAAATTGAAAAATATTTCTTGGGCCCCATATTGTTTCTAAAATGTCATTTAGTTTGCATGAGCATGACAAATTTAAGATTTTCTTAATATTGTGAAAAATGACATTTAAAGCAAATGTTAGCCAAGTTTGTTGTAATGTCAGTTGTTGTTAGGTTACAACTTACTTTACTTTACTATTTCATTTCTTCCACCCCTTCTTTTTTTATTATTTTTCTTGTCCACATCTATTTTATGAGAAAAGAATACTTGGTTTGGACAAGTTTATTAAAAATACTGCACAAATTCTCTTATTGAATTAGTAAGAAAACATTTTGTTGAAGTGACAACACTGAACCAAGTGATGGTAACATTGCGAAATTATGAACATCTGCTTTATTGGAAATGGCCATAGGAAAAACAGTTTGCCAACAAATATCATTTTGTATTGCTTAGAGTTGTCATGTGGTTGCAGAGTTATTATTTATTGAATAGCATATTATTTATTATGCATATGTAATTTTACAAAGGTTGAAATCTTAATCTAGTTTTACATAACATAACATTCCTTGACCTTTTCTGATGTCCATAACTTTTAGTCTGACATTCACAGTAATTGAGTGTAAGAAATTGAAATTTGTCTGTTTTTTTCCAAGCTGGGGAAGGAAAGATATCAAAGTTGTTTCATAATTTAACGATATTCACAAAGGTGACTTACTTAACTTTGTTTTATTTGGCAACTAAGCGCTAGTTACATGGAAGTCTTTACACCTTAATATCAGTATGCATATTCTCCATACTGTTCTCCATACATTTCTAAAGAGGCTGACAAGGAGAATTTGTTTAACAGTCAAGAGCTGCTTTAGCTGGTGATCATCTGTTCTATTCTCATGACTTTCATGTTTGACTCAGGAGTGATCATTATAGTAAGGAGAAGTTAGATGCTAGTCACTCTTAGGGGCCAAAGGATTAATGAGGGGAGGCTTCCTGCACAAAGGTACACTGCTCTATTGTTTTATCCTGCTATGTCTTACTCATAAATGAAAGAAAATAAATCAATCCTTATCATGAACAATTCATAACACTTTTATGCCAACTATCTCTTGAGGTGTAAGGCAGTCTTTTCATCGCCAGATTGTTGGAAATATGACAAGCAACTTAAATGAAATAATCTTTGAAGTAACTCTCTTTAAAATTAAGGCTTAATACTTCCCACAGCACTTGTTTTATTTTATTGAAAGAAATGAAAAAAGGTAACATTGATATATGTTACCTTTCATCTGCTGTCAGAAAGTCTCTGGCTCTAAGAACGGTAATCAGGTGGTACTCAGGCTCTGTCAGGCTCCAAATTTTTGTACACTAGTAGTTCTGATTCTCCAAAATCTTGAGGGTTATTCCAGTCCACAGAAACAAACAATGCTTGCTCTGTTTGAGCTTCTTGATATTGGCAATAGTTAAGCATGGCTTCAAAAAGACAACTTGACAATGATTTTTGGTTGAGCATTAAAACAATCTTAAGCTTATTCTCAGCACAACTAAAGAAAAAAAACTGTAAGGTTGTCAGTTGAGTGATCAGTTAGCCCTCTGATCCTGGGAGTGAAAAGGCCACACCATGATTTAATGTAGTTAGCTATTAAAGGAGACCAGCTGAGACAAATTTGAACATGGTAATCTTTTTCTTGTCATGGACAGCACAATTTACAATTTTGATTGAGCCTTAATTAATCTAATATCAATAAGGTTTAACAGCAAGACCTTTGTTTTGGTTTTGGTTTGAAAATGTTAAATGAAAAATAGAAACAAAAACAAAAATACACACTTTGAGGTTGGAGAGTATCACAGTCCCAATTAATTTATTACTTTGAATCTTTTTGTGTATTTTATTTTCAGTAATCACAGTAAGGGCAAAAAAGTACCCAATGCCAAAATTTCGACTCGGCAGAAGACAATTCTTGAACAGATTAGGTTACTTTCTGCAGCAAAGTGCAGCAGCAAACACAGTTACTACTGTAGATATTTCACCTCTAATTCTTAAAGGGCTGGCAGAAGAATAAAATCTAGGTTTGTTGAGTTCCAGACATCTCTTTTCAGGCTACACTCTGAGCATCCCTTTGACTGGAGCTCCTTGGGTCTAACACAAATATTACAGCAGATCACACAGCCATAATGCTCTAACAGCTGATATGCAGCTGATCTCTGGTGACACTTTCACACCTTTATTACACTGTGATCAGCTGTCATCACAGATATATCTGACTTGCCCATCCATTTTTGCTGATCATTTGACTGTTTCTCTTTTTGTCTTTTTAATTCATGCACAAACATAAAAAAAAATATCTGAAGACGAATTTTTTCCTGAAGAATTCATTTCAAGCAGCCACCACATATGATCACTATTTTACCAAGAGAAAAAACCTTTGCCAATCAGGAGTATTATGTTTGCTCAATTAGAAATAAATTAACAAACCAAACCTCACATGCCTTCGATATTACTCTTTCATCTAGGTTTCAAATAACTTGCCTATAAAGTAATTTGTCAGGAATATGATTAATAAGAGCTGTGCTCAGAAAAAGAATTGTAGGGATATCCTTTCTTGAGGACACTTTTTTATTATTTTGCTTTTTGTTTTTCCTCATCCAATCCAAAGCACTTCAGGGAATTAACCTTCAAACGTCTAACAACTCTTCACCAAAGTGGAGGTGGCTAGTGGTTGATATTTATTCCTGCAACAATTACAATATGTGCGTGGGCAAATCCAGTGCAAGTTGCTCGGAGGTAGATGGCAAAGGCTGTACGGCGTTTGAGTAGCCAATCAGAGGGTGCATATGGTAAATATCCTCCACTAACCATCGACACCCACCTGAAAAGTTGTTAATTATTGAACGTTTATTAGCACCGAACGTCCTTTTGGGGAACATATATGGCCAACTGTTAAGAAGTCTTTTGGTTTGGGACTATCTGAACTACTAAACAACGTAAACTGCAACTGTAAACTCACACTTGTTTAATGGCTTGAATTGTAATACAACTTGTTAGGCTTAACTTAACTAACTGATAACTGCTCCACTGCCTACGAGAATGTTGCTCACGTTCTTTTAAGGTGACCAAGCTAGAACTGACAGGAGATTAGTAGTCGGTCATCAAACTATCACCCGTTATTAATTTATGCTTACGTAGTGCCTTGCACAGTAGGTTGTAACCAAACTGCGCTTGTCCAAAGAGATGATCAGCATAAAGACCAAACATCAAATAAACATCGTCAAAATCTTTTTCATGTTAAAAGGTTCGCTGTCCTTCGCGGGTCTCCAGGCCAAAATAAACAAACGTGAGCAATATAAAAATTACTAGGTACAACTTTAAGGAAATTCATGTAACTGTAACATTGATATGTTTACAGAAACACGGTGTAAAGGTAGTTGCGTAACAATAATTTACAACAAGAGTTAAAGTAGGTCATTTCCGTGTACCCTAAAACCATACCAAAAACAAATCTCTAAACTACTCCAATTCAATAATTCCCCGCGTTTATACTTAAAAGCCAATGCTGAAGTCGAAGCACTTCCTTTAATAAAATACTTACTTGCATTCTAAAATAAACATGAGCAATCATTCAACTACTTGTTTGATATCAACAGTCAACTTATACAACACCTGCCGATGAAAACAGTATACAGGAATATTCTAAGGAAGCTATTACAACCTAAAAATCAAAATACCAATCCAATTAAAATGGGGGGTTAGGGTGCTAGGCCCTCTGCTGCCTGTGTAGTGTCCACATTATTGAAACCTAAACTCTTACTTGTTATTAAATTTAAAACCAATATATTTATACGGTTAAATCATGTGTATGTATGCTATCAAGTTGATTATCAAATTTGATAAGTTACAACATATAAAATCAAACCAGTGACTATGGTTTGTTACGATTTGTCAAAGAGCAAGCGGATCAAAAAAAAATTCTGCCAACTAACATTCATCTTTCGCTAAGCAAATAGAGCTAGATTATTCCCAAACTCCTAAATTTGATAAGTTACAACATATAAAATCCAACCAGTGACTATGGTTTGTTACGATTTGTCAAACAGGAGCAGATAAAAAAATTTTTCCTACTAACATTGATCTTTTGCTATGCAAAGTGAGCCAGATCATTTCCGAACTCCTAAATTTTGATTTACTTCATGCTGTTTGAAATACAGAATTGTACCGGCCATGGCACTTATCACATCAAGATCCATTCCCATGTTAATCTTAACTGACGGACAATGACAATTGTAGTTTTCATTTATCTTCTTCGGGCAGCGACCATCTATGGGTAGAAAAAGAACAACACCATTGGAAACTTCTTGTATTTTGACAAATAAAGGAAATCACCATGCAGTTTGTTTAAAACTCTGACTGTCCTCTTTACATTTTCCTTGTATGATCGATTGCTTTTTGGTTGGCTCGAGTACATTTTGTACTGCTTATACAGTGGCTAGAAAACTCAACAATTTCTATCCACAATGTCTCAAGCCTCTAAAAGACTTAGCTGTGTTATCTTCTTGACGGGAATATGATGTACAGAATAAAGTAAGGAACCTCGTTATCACCTTATTAGAGTTAGTCAGGTGAGTTTTCTGCGTTCATCCTTGAACGCCCATTCCTATGAAATCGCAATCAGGTTCTGGAGCAAAGCCAAACAATGGCGGCCGCAAAATCTCGTATGAAACAGTCCACAAATATAACTCCTGTGGCTTGAAATGAAATGAAATTTGGGTGGGTTTGCAAGAGAGTCATATTGCAATAGGGAATGCAGATGAATGAAGTGTGTAAAATTTGACGTGAAGACTTAGCACTTTAAGAGTATTAAGAGCATTAAAGGAAAATATCAAAACAAGTTATATTTACATTCAGCGGTGACTAGACTGAATCAGTTCCATTTAGCTCCAGAGTGACATCATCCCCAATGAGAACAAATGGTGCCCAGTACTTTACTTCCCCGAACTCTTCAGACTCTCTCATACATTTCATGGCTTGGTTAAGAGCTTCACTGACCCTCCTTCCTTTAACTAGTTCTTTATAGAAATGTTTCATGAACCAGGAAGTGGCTTCGTCATAAATTCCCCAGAGGGACACCAAAACGGAACGAGCCCCAGCACCTAAAAATGCTCGAGCAATGCCAACCACTCCCTCAGCCTTTATTTCTCCATGAGCACTATGACAGCAACTCAACACAACCAACCTTGCCCGCAGCTTAGCTTCCAACACATCCGCCATCGTCAACAAAAAGTCTTTCTCCTCAGAATGATGGGATTCCTCAGCAGGGTTTGGGGCCAAAATAATTTCTCCTGTATCCATTTTGCTATGTGCGGCGATGTGCACCAAAGCAACCGTGGATAGTCGCTTTAAGACTTCTCCTTTAGTCGCCATTTTTCCAATGAGGGGAGCCGTTCCTAGGATTCTTCCAATCATCTCTACTTCTTTCTTTGCATATGGCAGCTCACACAACTTTCTCCCTTTATAGAGAACTTCCTCTAGGTACGGATCTCCCACGAGAAGGGCGCCTGTCTTATTGTGGAAGTCAGCTGGAGAATCAGTAACTAATTTCAAAGTAGTCAAGGACGGAATTAATCTGATTCTTAGAGACTCGCACAGATACTTCTGCTCTGGGTTCATCAGTGCTGCATAGGGTACCAAACACAATGGACCCTCCGGAACGAGAATGAGGTCATCTCCATGGACCAGGTCAGCAATAGGAGCAATTGTAAGGTCAAAAAACCTCTTTAAACTCTCCTTCGATGAAACAGGCTGAGAAACACTGCAAGAGGCCTTTTCAGTCATGCAATCCCCCTCACGCAACTGATCAAGCGAGCGATTTTCAATTTTGACGCCAGCACGTACACCAATTTCGTCCAAGGCAGTACTGTGTAGAGTCGTAAGGAAAGCTCTCACATCTACTTCTGAAATATCTCCTACCTTTCTTCTCCTCAAGGTGACTTCATCCTTTCTTATAACCCAGAAAATGATCTCTTGTCTATCAAGAGCTATGAAAACTGTTGTTGAAGGAATGGATCTAAAAGAGGAGCCACTTGACTTTCCTGAGGAATGAGACTGAGAGTATACCTCTTGACACCCATAATTTTCTTCCATGAGATCTTTTAAAGCCTGTGCCCGTCCACCCTCAGCAACTCGCAAGGCATCACGAACTTCACCTTGGCTTAGATAGAGACGCCACAAATTATTGTTTACACTATTATACGTATCGCGGTAGCTAATTTTCCACTCGTCTTTAAACCGGAGATGAGCCCTAATTTCATTGAGCTTTGACAAACTGGAATTAAAGCAATCAAGGGCACTCGAAAACGATCCTCGATCTTTAGACGTATCATTAAGCAGAAAGTATGCATGGCCAAGATTTCCATATGCCTGTCCTTCTCCAACTTTATCCCCCACTTCTTTTGCAATTTGTAGGTGACACTCATAATACTCGATTGCCTTATGAAAATCGCCTAAGCTGCCATAGGCATTGCCAAGATTTCCATAAGCCCCTCCTTCTCTAGCTTTATCCCCCACTTCTTTTGCAATTTGTAGGTGACACTCATGGTACTCGATTGCCTTATGAAAATGGCCTAAGCTGTCGTAGGCATTGCCAAGATTTCCATAAGCCCCTCCTTCTCCAGCTTTATCCCCCACTTCTTTTGCAATTTGTAGCTGACACTCATGGTACTCGATTGCCTTATGAAAATCGTCTAAGCTGTCATATGCATTGCCAAGATTTCCATAAGCCTCTCCTTCCCCAGCTTTATCCCCCACTTCTTTTGCAATTTGTAGGTGACACTCATGGTACTCGATTGCCTTATGAAAATCGCCTAAGCTGTGATAGGCATTGCCAAGATTTCCATAAGCCCCTCCTTCTCCAGCTTTATCCCCCACTTCTTTTGCAATTTTTAAGTGACACTCATGGCACTCCATTGCCTTATGAAAATCGCCTAAGCTGTCATAGGTATTGCCAAGATTTCCATAAGCCCGTCCTTCTCCAGCTTTATCCCCCACTTCTTTTGCAATTTTTAGATCACACTCATGGTACTCGATTGCCTTATGAAAATCGCCTAAGCTGTGATAGGCAATGCCAAGATTTCCATAAGTCCGTCCTTCTCCAGCTTTATCCCCCACTTCTTTTGCAATTTGTAGGTAACACTTATGGTACTCGATTGCCTTATGAAAATCGCCTAAGCTGCGATAGGCAATGCCAAGATTTCCATAAGCCCGTCCTTTTCCAGCTTTATCCCCCACTTCTTTTGCAATTTGCAGGTGACACTCGTGGTACTCGATTGCCTTATGAAAATCGCCTAAGCTGTTATAGGCAATGCCAAGATTTCCATAAGCCTGTCCTTCTCCAGCTTTATCCCCCACTTCTTTTGCAATTTGTAGGTGACACTCATGGTACTCGATTGCCTTATGAAAATCGCCTAAGCTGCCATAGGCAATGCCAAGATTTCCATAAGCCTGTCCTTCTTCAGCTTTATCCCCCACTTCTTTTGCAATTTGTAGGTGGCACTCATGGTACTCGATTGCCTTATGAAAATCGCCTAAGCTGTGATAGGCAATGCCAAAACTTCCATAAGCCCGTCTTTCTTCAGCTTTATCCCCCACTTCTTTTGCAATTTGTAGGTGACACTCATGGTACTCGATTGCCTTATGAAAATCGCCTAAGCTGCGATAGGCAATGCCAAGATTTCCATAAGCCCGTCCTTCTCCAGCTTTATCCCCCACTTCTTTTGCAATTTGTAGGTGACACTCATGGTACTCGATTGCCTTATGAAAATCGCCTAAGCTGCGATAGGCAATGCCAAGATTTCCATAAGCCCCTCCTTCTCCAGCTTTATCCCCCACTTCTTTTGCAATTTGTAGGTGACACTCATGGTAGTCGATTGCCTTATGAAAATCGGCTAACCTGTGATAGGCATTGCCAAGATTTCCATAAGCCCGTCCTTCTCCAGCTTTATCGCCCACTTCTTTTGCAATTTGTAGGTGACACTCATGGTACTCGATTGCCTTATGAAAATCGGCTAACCTGTGATAGGCATTGCCAAGATTTCCATAAGCCCGTCCTTCTCCAGCTTTATCCCCCACCTCTTTTGCGATTTGTAGACGACGCTCGTGGTTCTCAATTGCTTTGTGAAAATCGCCTAAGCTACGATAGGCAATGCCAAGATTTCCAAAAGCTTGTCCTTCGCCAGCTTTGTCCTTCGCCTCTAACTTTTTGGTACTTTGCAAATTGTCGCCTACCCACCGATATGAAAAAAAAAAAACCTTTTTCAGAGGAAAATAGAATTAATATAGCGATCATTAACGGACAAAAAGTTTCTTTCCTCATTTGAAATCAAGATTTTCATTTGCTTTCAACTTTCCAATTTGAATTCTATTCAAATATCCCTACAATCAAATGTAGATGCTTTTTTTTTTATTTACCCAGCGGTTTAATGGGAAACCTAAGAAATGTGTTTGTAGCTCGATGAATTTTATTGCAAAAGTTTTTCCAGTCCTTACCCAAGATTTATCCTTCAAATATGGAAAAAAAACCAGATGATCTTATCGGGATATCCTTCTCTTCAAGTTGTCTTAAGGCTGGTCTACATTAGCAACGGAATCGCAGTCCCAGTCGGAGTCGTTAGAGCACTTCCGACTGAGTGAAAACTAAAAATCAGTGTCATGAACGGAGTCATAAGCTCAACAGAATCAAAGTACAGGATCAGAGTCGGAAAAATGAGAATGGTTTCGTCCGATTCCGCTTTGAACCGTGAAAAGTCAATTGTTGGAGTTGAAGACAGAACTGGAAGATCAAACAAGTTTGATTTCAGCTTGATCGTACTGCTCTGCATTTCTCAATAACGACTTCGACTCCGTTGTAGATGAAGACCAGCCTTTAGGTTATGCCTTATTATCGGCCGTTAAGCTATGCTCACGGGAGATTTATATTGAAGTGAAAAACTTATATTAAAATCGCCCCCCCCTTTCTACATTCCACAGAGTACCATAACTTAAACAAACATATCCTAACATAGGTCTCAATAGACCCGAAGGCCTTAAATAGGTTTAAATGATGAAGGCAGTGAGAAACAGAAGGCGGTCAGGTCATCGTGGAGGTGCAACACTTGGATCGTTTTCCTTGGAATAGTGCACGAATCTTAACGCAACTTCTGAACTGGGAATAGGTTCATTTATCTTCTACCCCATTCACATCAACAAAACATGTTCAGTTAAACTTTACTTTATCTAATTCGTTGCAAACGGATATACGTAAAAAAAATTAAACAAATGAATTCAAATTTAATCTTTACAAAAAAATTATTATTTTCAAGTATTTTCAATTCCTCCGCCCTTATAAAAGACTAAAAGCATTCGTTTAAATGTGTGAAATGAATTCATATTTTTAGTTTCCGTTGACAATTCGTTCAAGCGTACCAGAGTAAAAGAAATATTTTAAAAAGTTTTGACCGATGCATTCGGCTGGTGACCATAAGATTAATGTTTCCATTTCGAAAATTGCAGATTTAAGTTCATTTCACAAATTACAGATTTTCATTTCATTTCGTTTTGCAAACTATAGTGTGCCCCCGCTACGAATCATCAAGACATAAAACAACGGTTAAATGATGACATCACAACAACTAAGGCTGCATGCGGACGTCGGACGAGAGCTCTGGATTGTTAGAAAAGTGATACGTCCGGGCAATCAAAACTTTTGGTACTAGAAATTTGCCTTCACTTGTTTGTAATGTCTCCTTTAACAGTTTTTACAGTCTTTGGCAGAAGATGCTTGCTGGATCTGCCTCATTTCTTCAGCTTTCTTGTTTAAATCAAACAGTTTTGTTTTTTTTCTCCTATGCCTCCGTTACTTATCTGAATGCCTCTCTCCCACAAATAATTTTTCATTCTCCCACGCTGAATTTTCGAGAAATTTCACCATAGCACTTATTTGATCTTAATTCTTTCAGGTTAATTTCTACCTTCAGAGGCCAGAAAAGTCGTTTTTTTCTTTTATTTGACTTAACTGACTTCAAACATTGTACCTAACGTTTCCGAGAAAAAAGATTTTCAAATCTCCAAAAGCACCCGAGTTATTTAGGAAAAGGTAACTTGGAATAAAAGGTAATGAATCAGGAAGGTGTTATAATCTCGTACCTGAGCGACTCTGCTAAGAGAATTTTCACGGCAATCGCTCATCTCTTTTTCATTTTATTTGCACATTTTTTTTACATCGCGGGCCCACGCGCGGGCCCACGCGCTACCACCTTCGTGCTGCATGCATCACCGCCAAAAAACACTGAATTTGAAGCAAGTACTGACATGGCGATTACAGAGAATGACAAGAGCTTATTTAAACAGTCACATAAACGGTTAATTTATAGGGGATTTCAATTCTAATAATCAGGCTCTCGTATTTCTATTTTTCTTTACTCCTGATTCCTTCTTACTCCTCGCCTCTTTTTTCGTCTTTTCTATTGCGCGTGCTAAATGATATTGAATAAATTAACGGAAAAGAAGCACGTGAAATGAAATAAATATATAAAAAGAGAAATATTAACTAATTGAAGGGGGGCGTTGTAGTCTATTAGAAACTGCAAAACCACCAGAAATTTGGTCAAAACTGAAAACTGCAAGAAATTCTCGCCGCCCTTCCTGTTTTCGTTAAGAAAAACGCGATATACTCCACAGTTGCTTTTTGAGGTCCTTGAGCTTCGTCCTCTACAGGTGCGTGAGGCACGTTGGGAGCCATAGCTCGCAAATTGATCGACGTTAGTATTATTTCAACTGATGCTCACATCATCACACTACATCTGAAGAGTAAAACATTCCCTATCTAGAAAATTTGCTCAAACCATCAGGAACACTGACGAAGGTACTCAGCTGCTTAAAAATACCGCTAATTAACATGTGTGTTGAGGACATCGTCCCTCGGCTTCAGCCCCCGTCAATTCTTTCCCCTTCCCCCCCTCCACTGCCCGGATTAGTCTTTAAATCCCCTTGGAGAAACGCTTCGACAGCCAGTACGGAAGAGTTTTAGTACAGTCTTTATTATAGTGAAGGGCTGGAAAATGAACTGACAAGAGCTGCGCTGTTAGGCTTGGCTAAATCTATATATTATTTTTTATCATAAACTGCAGTTATTAAGCTTTCCTCCGATGTAAAGTTTGTTAGGATTTAAGAGAAATTAGCACGCGTATGAATTTTTTCCCGAAGGACAAACCTTAAAGCAATGAGAGCGAATTTGCACTTAGCCTCGTCCTCGCTCCGTAACTTCAGTACCAGATCTTTGAACCGCGAGAACTGGGAAGTGGCCTTATGGACTTTACTCAGTCTCATTACCATTATAAATAAGTACCAAGTTTTCCTATACCTTTCTATGCTCAAATGGTTACAGATAAAGTTTGCCTAGCGAAATAAACCTCGTTTTAGATAGATTTCTTTCAAACCGGGCTTAACCGAATGTAAATCAGAAATAGAGAACTAACATAGCGAATTTTTCATAGCATTCAATTTGAAGTTCAAAAAAATATTGGTTTGAGAAGCTCCTATGCGGAAAAATATTTTAAACTGTGTTTGACAAAGCAGCTTTGAAACATTTTAAAGCTTTGTTATGAATGGGGTATGAACCTGTTTCACGCTAATGATACTTCACTTTAAGCAAAATGAGATGAAAGTATCCACCTAAAGATGGCAGACTAGCCCGCAGTTTTTTTCCCGTTAGTATCCAACTAACAGCTCTGAAAGCCATGCAATATTTGCAGCATCAATAAGCTTCTTGTTTCTCCATCTTCATGTCGTTGTACTAATTTTACTTTCAAACAAAATTTAAGGTTATGATCAATATTTGCAGTTAACTTGCAAATATGTAGCTCTACTCTAGGCATGAGAAATTTACTTGTAGAAAAGTGTTAATGTTCATATTCAGTGTTTTCAAACCTGGAGAGCTGTCTTGTTCACGATCGCGATCTCTATTGCGTTGAGGAACCTCCACAGCTGAAAAAGAACGTAAAGGGAAATATTATGAGTCTTCCCCGAGCGCTTCAGCGATCAGTTCATTTTCCAAATTAATCAGTTGAAGTTCAAGTTAAACAAGCTGCAATACAAATGAAAAAATCTGAGACTTTTTTGCACACCTTAATGTCTAATAAGCTTTATTCCGGGATAATTTATGCCTTATACAAAAATTTAATGATATAATGAAAAAATTTAGCTGCAGCTCAATTTAAATAGACGTAAGTATAAAAAGGGAAAATTCCCAGCTGATAGCGACCGAGGGCAGAGGGAATTTCCCTTCGATAAGTGAAAATGAAAATGAAAGTCATGACTTGGATTTAACACAATCAATATTCCAGAGAGAGAAAGAGGGATGCCCTCTCGATTGCAGTGATTTGGAAGCTTCACCCAGCGACCTTTGTTTATATCTATTGGTGCCACTTACCTAAAGCTCTTACAGAAAACATGGCGAAATAAAAAACCGAGTTAATTTGTAAACTCTTTAATACGAGTCGATGTGACTGTATAAACGGTCTAATCAAATTATAAACGTCTTTAAACAAAATCAAATGTCATTATCAGTATTTACAGTTGCAAATCAGTGTAGCTCTACTCTAAGCATGAAAGATTTCATTGCAGAAAAGAGCTTATGTTCATATTAAGTGTTTCCAAACCTGAAGAGCTGTCTTGTTCACGATCGTGATCTCTCTTGCCTTGAGGAACCTCCTTAGCTGAAAAAGAACACAAATAAAATATTATTTGTCTTCGCCGAGCGCTTCAGCGATCAGTTCGTTTTCCAAATTTATCAATTGAAGTTCAAGTTAAACAAGCCAAGATACAAATGAAAACATCGGGGCTTTCTTTGCACACCTTAATCTATAATAAGCTTCATTCCATGATTTCATGCTTTACATGACAATCTTAAGTTTAAATTAAAGAATTTAGCTGCGGCTCAATTTGAATAGGCGTAAGTATAAAAAGGGAAAATTCCCAGCTGAAAGCGACCGAGGGCAGAGGGAATTTCCCTTCATTAAGTGAAAATGAAAATGAAAGTCATGACTTGAATTTCACACAGACAATATTCAAGAGAAAGAAAGAGGGATGCCCTCTCGACTACAGTGATTTGGAAGCTTCACCCAGCGTCCTTTGATTATATCTATTGATGCCACTTACCTAAAGCTCTTACAGAAAACATGGCGAAATAAAAAACCGAGTTAATTTGTAAACTCTTTAATAAGAGTCGATGTGACTGTATAAACGGTCTAATCAAATTATAAAGGTCTACACGATGTGAAACACACTTACCTGCGTTAGACATGGTTAACAGCGGATGAGAGAGAAATGAAAACGGAAGATTTATGAAGACAAGCAACCTACGGAAATATTACAACCGCTTGATCAACATAACACACCTTGAACGTGAATGAAAGTGATCCTCGCAGTAATGTGCACTACTTAAGCAGTAGTGAAAATAAGGCCTGAAAAAAATTCAGGCCTGTACGGGATTTCAACCCATGACCTTGATGTTAGCTCAGTTGGTAGAGCGCTGCACCGGTATCGCAGAGGTCATGGGTTCAAATCCCGTACAGGCCTGAATTTTTTTTCAGGCCTTATTTTCACTACTGCTTAAGTAGTGCACATTACTGCGAGGATCACTTTCATTCACGTCTTTATCCGCAGTTCAAATATATGACTTTCATATATTGTTAACCATTTATTCATCACTTCACGGGTTTATTTAGAACCAACTTCATGACCAGCTCCCAGTTGGCTTGTTAGCTCAGTTGGTAGAGCGCTGCACCGGTATCGCAGAGGTCATGGGTTCAAATCCCGTACAGGCCTGAATTTTTTTCAGGCCTTATTTTCACTACTGCTTAAGTAGTGCACATTACTGCGAGGATCACTTTCATTCACGTCTTTATCCGCAGTTCAAATATATGACTTTCATATATTGTTAACCATTTATAACACACCTTGCTTCCTTGAGTTCACGACACGCTTAGTTTGTTATGAAAATTGTTCACATGCAAGCATAGCGAACTCCCGAGCCGAATTTTTCACGAGTACGTCTCTTTCCAAAGGTTTCTACAACAGTTTTAGCGCTCTGGTGTTTCTCATCGAATTTTTTTTTCCCGAAGGACCAAACGAAGGTAAGAAGTAACGATGAGAGCGACTTTGCTCTTAGCATCGTCCTTGTGCCGTAATTTCGGCACCAGATCACTGAACCTCGGAAGTGGCCTATAGGACTTCAATCACTCCGATTATCATTAGAAATAAATACCAAGTCTTTCAATACCTTTCTGTGTTCTAGTGGTAACAGAGAAAGTTTGCGTAGCGAAATAAACTTCGTTAAAATAAACTTCCTCTAAACCGGGCTTAATCGAATGCAAATAAGAAAGAGATAACCAAAAAACTGAATTTTCCGTAGGATTCAATATGTACTACATTTGAAGTCGACAAACATTGGTAAGAGCAGCTCCTGTATGAAGAAATGTTTGACAAAACAGCTTTGAAACATGCTTATGCTTTGTTGTGAATGGGACAAAACCTATTGATGTCCAGTGATGCATGACAGCAGACTAACTCGCAGTTTTTTCCGGTTAGGCTCTAGTTAATGGCTTTCAAAGCCATACAATATTTGCAGCATAATCAAGCTTCTTGTCTCTCCATCTTCATGTCGTTGTACTAATTTTAATTTTAAACAAAATCTAATGTCATTATCAGTATTTACAGTTAACTTGCAAATCAGCGTAGCTCTACTCTAAGCATGAAAGATTTCATTGCAGAGAAGAGCTTATGTTCATATTTAGTGTTTACAAACCTGAAGAGCTGTCTTGTTCACGATCGTGACCTCTCTTGCTTTGAGGAACCTCCTTAACTGAAAAAGAACACAAATAAAATATTATTTGTCTTCGCCGAGCGCTTCAGCGATCAGTTCATTTTCCAAATTTATCAGTTGAACTTCAAGTTAAACAAGCCACAATACAAAAGAAAAAAATGGAGGTTTCTTTGCACACCTTAATCTCTCATGAACTTTATTCCGTGATTACATGCTTTACATGACAATCTTAAGTTCAAATTAAAGAATTTAGCTGCGGCTCAATTTGAATAGCCGTAAGTATAATAAGGGAAAATTCCCAGCTGAAAGCGACCAGAGGCAGAGAGAATTTCCCTTCATTAAGTGAAAATGAAAATGAAAGTCATGACGTGGATTTAACACAATCAATATTCCAGAGAAAGAAAGAAGGATGCCTTCTCGATTACTCTGATTTAGAAGTTTCCCCCTGCGTCCTTTGATTATATCTATTGGTGCCACTTACCTAAAGCTATTACAGAAAACATGGCGAAATATTTTTAAAACCGAGTCAATTTGTAAACTCTTTAATACGAGTCGATGTGAGTGTATAAACGCTCAAATCAAATTATGAACGTCTACACAACGTGAAACACACTCATTACATGCGTTAGACATGATTAACAGCCGACAAGAGAGACAAAAGCGATAGGTTTGCGAAGACAAGCAACCTACGGAAATATTGCAACCGCTTGATCAACATAACAACACCTCGCTTCCTTGAGTTCATGACACGCTTAGTTTGTTCTGAAAATGGTTTACATGCCAGCATAGCGAGCTACCGAGCCGATCTTTTCACAAGTACGTCTCATTCCAAAGATTTTGACAATAGTTCATGCGCTCAGAAGTTTATCATGGAGATTTCTGACAAAACGAAAGGTAACGACCTCGCGCTCGAATGTTTATCGAACATCCTGAACCCTTACGTTATCGTCAGACTCGACTCACTTAATCTTGCTTCGCTTTTGGTATTTTATTAGAATTACAAACGACTGTAAACAAGATGATAGTTCTACTGAAGCAGGTTGTTCGGGACATCACTGCAATTGGGGGTACTGGCAAACAACGACCGTCATCAAAATATCTTCTATACTACTGCACTTAGTCTTACCTGGAACACAGAGGTAAGGATTCAACCAATCCGTTACTCGAAGTCCTTGGGAAAATTCGCCCACAGCTAAAGTTTTTTTTCTCTCGACTAAGGCGTAAAACTAAATGGTTTGTAGGTAACTGTGGAGCACTTTTACAATCGAGAGGAGGCGGAAGACGAATGACCTTCGATTGATCGCTTCCTTTGATTCCTAGAGTTTAAATATGTAATCGTGACGTTAGCTTAATTCAAATAATCACATGACTTGGCAACGGAATTTAAATTTCCTTACTGTCACGCGACCACTTGTTGAGGTCTTTGCCTTAATTTACGCTTACATTCCTCTGATCCCTATATTTATTTAGTGAGTAAATTTGATTTGCGTTTATCTTGGTTAGATCGTTGTCATTTTCATGATTGTCCGAAGATAAGTCAAACCGATAGATTTTCCCAAAGTAAGAATAGAGAGAAGCAAAGGACCGGGCGAGTTAAAGTCGATGGTCACGATTTCCTGATCCCTCTTTTGCATATTTCCATCAACCAAGTGCGTGACAAGAATTAAGGCTAACATCAGCCCCTCCCCCCTTCCCCCATTCTCCCCACCCATTAAAATAAATGAAGCATTTAAGGGAATCCTACCCTTTTCTTGTTTTCAAGTTGCACACTGAATGCGTGACTGGGTCCACAGGTAGTCCAAGCTCGCACAATGAGCCTCCTTGTTTTAGCCGACGAGCGAAATGTGGGGATTTCTCCGAGAATGAACCGGTTGCATTTTTAACCCAGAAATTTGAAATAGTTTTGAATAAAAACAAGCTTCACTTGTCTCTACGCTGTTTGCTCAGTTGAATCTTGTGAGTTTCTTTGGGGCTGTTTTACGGTCGTATAAGTAGTTTTTAGTTCCCTCTCTTGCCTCTTTAAACGGAAAGCTAATTGGCTTCAAAGCAGTTGAAAATTCGAAAAAAGAGGGGGTATTAACTTTATTTTTAATCAGAAAAGAGTTAAACTTTTGAGTTGAAAATACCACCATCCCTTCTGATGTAAATCCTTAAAGTTCCACAAGCCAAATATACTGTAAGCTAAGGGATTACTACTTCGTAGGAGGTTTTAGGAGGGCTTATAAACAGAAGGACTTATACCCAAGGGTTGCAAAACCGGAAAAGAAAAAGCTATAGCAGTGCTGATCAAAATACGTTTAGCATTTACTCGTTTTTAATTAACCTTTAAAAAGTCATATATCAAATTAATTTCAATACATTGGGAACAGAATTAATACTAGCAACAAAAACAAAACTGGTACATAAAAAAAACTTAAGTTCAAACTTTTCTCTTGAAGTTCATCTTTGCTCTTCTATCAATGAAATTTCCATGTCCCAGTCACAGCACCGGGGCTTTTCCTACTTTGATTTTACAAAAACAAGAAAACAAGAAAAGCTAAAGATGGGCTTTTATCGGGGGGCGAGGGCACCTATGAGCAGGAGTTTACAGTATTTATATATTTACAGACAGACTCTTATTGTACAAGCCTGAGCTTCCTGTGGTGTGTTAGAGTGTAAGTGGGGTTTTGTACTCCTTTCTGTTACAAGAACCAACTGAGGTGAAATGAACTATGGGTATTTTTAATTAATAACATGCTCTTTCCAAAAGCTCAGCAAAGAGAGCCACAGTAAGAAACAAATCATTATCAGCATCGCACAATGGGACTGCCACTTTGACAGCTCAGCAACAGAGGACAGAGACACTGAGACACAAACATTAAAGCTATTGGATTTCAGATGACAACCAAGTGTCATGATCAGAATTTAAAAGTTTGAAAACAAGCCACCAATGGATGAAACTTGACTTTTTCATGATCATATACCCAGTAATCTTTTCAGTGCCTGATATTTCTGGGGTTGAACATGTTCATGGGTTCAACTACCCAGCATATTGCCTTCTATTTCAGTTTTAAAATAAAATCTCACTTTTTAAAAACTGGAAATGTACAAAGGAAATGACATTACCATATCTGGGGTGACTAAAAATGGAATCATAAAATGGAATCATAAAATGGTCACCATTTTAGAATAAGCTTTATACTAAGTATGAGTAATTGTCACATATTCACATTGACCATAATTTGCTTTTAATTCATCAATTCTACAAGGTTAGTTTTTCCGAGTAAATAAAAAATCAAAACAAATTAAAAAAACTATAAATAGTCAAATTCAAAACGAGCACAGAGACTCCCAATACATTCTTTTCAAGTATTCCAGACAAAAAGGGAATGGGTCCCCCATGACATCTTCTGTCTCTCAACTTTGCTGCAATAGGTGCAGTTCTCCTTTTTCAAGTCTCTATACTTAAATTCTCTTTGCCTGCAACAAAAATAAATCATCAAATACGAAGAGAACTTTAGAGAGATAAAAAATGAAAAAATATGAAAAAATATGATATTTTTTTAATGATAAGAATCCCTATTTTACTAACGCCTTGTTAGCAAGTAAAAAAAAAAGCCAGGCACACTAGGTTTTCTATCATTTGAACATTAACTAACTCTACTACTCAAACCCCAAATAGTAACTTGGAACTAATTTCACCTTACAATATCATCCCTTAATTAACCATTAAGGTCATGAGAATAGGGGGGAATGATTATTAACAAAAAAAAAAAGCTCTTGATTGCTGAGCAAATTCTCCACGTCAGAAGACAAAGAAAAAAATATGGAGAATATGCATATATAATAATGTTAAAGTGTAAATGGTTAAGAACAGACAATAGGGAATGTATGTGTATAGATTAAGGATTCTATAATATCATTGTTCTTGTGCGATTTCCTTAGCTGTTGGTGTGTTCTTGCAGGAACTGGCACATGTGGGCACAGTGGAGCAGATTGAAAATGTATATAACAGCATGACAACATAACCATTCCATGAGCATCATCTTCCAAATATGATGAATTTCATTCCTTTTTTCTATTGCTCAATTCTACAAATCTAATTTAATCACTCATGTTTTTCTGAGGGAAATCCCATGAGCTCAAGTACATCTCTTAATTTAAAAGCATGAGTGATGTTTAAAAAAGCTTTGGTTAATAAACTAGCCATTGGAGTGCTGTTTGGAAAACTTTCAAAACATATAATGAGTAACAATAAATTATGAAATGTCAGAGCCGATTAATATGTTTTTACATATGATATGTTCTAAACAAAACCTCATACAAATACTGCTCTTTGTACATTCCTGGAGCACATTCCTCAAAACATTTTCCACCAGTTAGAAAATGAAATAAGATAATTGTATTGTTTGATTTGATCACTCATTAGAATGCAGAGGGTGATGGACCCATTGAATTTTTATGTTATCTTTCAACTGCTGAAACGTTTAGTGTTGTTTTGTTATCTTTAAAAGCTTTAATTTCAAGCCAGTGTGTAGCATGGAAATCCTGTGTTGCACTTAACAAGTTACTTTTCAATTCATCCAAAATAGACCAATCAGAAATGAAACAATTTGTTTTGGTATAATGACTATGGTTAGATTATTTCAGGTAAGTGGTATTTGAATTTAAGAAGAAAAAGCATGGAAGTCCTGTCTCTTAGTGACTTACTGTAGTCTCTCATTTATCTTGTTTTGGTTTATTGATGACTGTTAATTTTGCTGATGACTGTTTATTAAAATTGGAGGAAAACAACAAAAAAGGACACTAACAATTTGACAATAAAAAAGTTAAACCCTATCCCTCTCTCACTGTAGGACAGTACCCACCAATAAAAGGATGAACCTGATTAATTCTGATTAAAGCTGGCTCATTTGAGAGTGTAAGAGTTAGTTTGAGAGTAAAAGTAAAATGATACTGCTGCACATTATGGAATACAGATCACAAAGCTGAGATGTACAACCCTCTCTTTCTTTCTTGGGATGCCTTGTGCATTCGTGATTGTTAGATAAAGATCAGTGCAAATATAATTATATATTTCTAAACGTATAGGTGCTGTTAACAAAACAGCCCGATTTAAGCTAACGATTAAAGACTCTTCGTGATCTGCAAAACAACACAACACTATTTTCGCACGTGAGGTAATAATTAAAGCGCAATATTTAATAGTGTCGAAACAGTCGATGATTCTAAAGCTTGGTTTGGAATATTGGAGGCTGAAAACTGTACCACTTTCAAGGTTTATTTACAACACGTTGTTAGAAAGCTCGCTTTAAAAAAAAAAAACAGGTATGACAAGAGAGAATTATAACACATGTCAGATTCTGGCAAGGCTCGATTCCCAACCGCGGGATCTTCAGATCTAGTCTTAATCACGTAAATTCGGAGCTGATACCTATTTGCATGCATATTGAAAGGGCGGAAAAGAACAGAGTTCATCAAATAAATTCCGTAAACCTGTTTTCCGATTCGAGCTGTTCGAGACATCAGAGGCACTCTCTTGCAGTTTCTTTGAGTTCACTACGAACGCAGTCGATCATTTCAAACTTCTAACTCTTTCAGACGCATCGATATCGTCCTTGGACGCCTTTTTCTCCTCGGGAACATGTTGTGGCTAAGCCTGCAGTGCAGGCGTTTTGCTAACGCCAGCTAACATTAAACTATTCCGACAGGCCATGTTTGATTTGGAGTCAAAGTAGTTCTCCCAGCCCCACCCCACTCCTTATTTTTGACTGTCAGCCGCCCCCCTGGTACAAATTTTACTCTCTCCCCAGCCTTCCGTTGCCATACAAATCAAGATGGCGGCTGTAATTTTCGTTAAAAAAATGAGTGAGCACTCGCTCTGCGGGCAAGTTCTGGCTTGAAACGATACGGTTCTTAACAGCAGCCATGTTTGTTTCCCCGTCAAAGTTGAGCTCGATGACGTCACGCAATATTTTAGGGCGAGGATTTGATGTGGTTTATAGGAAGTGCTTAGGAGGCTGAAACTGTAGTGAGTATTCTATCTTTGTATTAAATTTTTGTTGGTGCAAAGTAAAAAGAGTGATTTTCTGGACACTACTTCTCCTTGAATGGTAACTGACTGCTGTTCAGTAAAAATCACTTGGCTGATAATGGTTTTGACCAGTTTTAAAGAAGCATTGGAGTATCGTTTGCTTTCTGAAATTTGTTTTTTGAATATGATTTTGATTTAAGCAACTAGACGAGGAATAAATTTCAGTACAAACTTTATTCTTAAGCATGTCTGCAGGAACAAGGGAAAAAGTCAATATAAAAATATTCATACTTATTGCCAAAAGTTAACATGTCCTCATCACAAGCTACTAAATGAACAAACAGGATGAAAACTATTCATTTTTATTTCTCAAAAGCCTTTAAATTGATATTTTTGGAATCACAGGAATCAATTAATATTCCCTTTTATATCACCTTCTCCAAATCATGGAATGATCCATCTTTTGAGATGTGACAAAGACTCCATCAGTCACACAAACCACACAGATTATATATTATGGAATTGGTTATCTCGATTTCATGACTTATCATCTGTGTCATTTACATTTCAAACAATGTGATGTATCACGAAAATTCACAGTATTTCAAGGAAAGTTTGATTGTAATTCATGGTTTAATTATAGTTAGTTAGACTATTGCTCTAAATAAGCATGAATGCAAGTGTGCCACACTGAACAATACTTGAGACATGAATTTTTCCTCAAAGTAAATTCTGTATGACCCCATATTTCCATACATTGTATTAATTTGATGATGCCTTTAATACAACAATTTGATTGTTTAGACACACACACACATATAACATATATGTAGATGTCACTGACACATTTTCCTTTAAAAAAATTCCAGTGCTAACAACAGTTTTGATGTGCAGTATGTATACTTAAATGATCTGAAAGTACATTTTTGGAGGTACTTGTTTAATGGACACACTGCCTCACATGTTTGCTTCACACAGCTTTGGTGAGTAGTACTGTAGTAGAATGCAATGTACATGTATGTGATATCCATATAATAAATGCTCTGTTTGTTTTGGGTTGACAAAGTTAAATACACAACTACAGAGCGCATAGGTCTTGTCATTAAAATATCACACATTTCATTGATACAAAATATTATATAAATGTTATATGAACTGATGTTGATTCTTGTCTCTTCGTTTCCAGATTGGTGCTGAAATAAGTAAAAACACTAGGGTATCTGCTTTTAAGCGTCATGCTCATAACTTTGCGCAAATTAGCTCAGGAAAGTTTTAAAATGGTATATCTGAAGTGAAATATTGATTTGATGCAAAACACATCAGACATCTTTAGTTTTATGATTTCCTAAGGTTGACATCTATTAACTATTAAGATTCCTATGTTTCAGTCATTGTAACAATGCTTCAAATGGATACCTATAGTGGGTTTTTTTGGTGATGGTTTTTTTTGATAGACACACATTGCAGTCTTAATAATATTTACAAAAAGGAACATTGAATATTGAAAGCCTTAATAATATCATCATCATACAGAAAGGAATGTGGTAGCTTAATTCTTTTTAACCACATGTTTAATTAATGTAATAAGTTATTTAGAGATGAACAGATCTAAAGCTTGTAGCATATATATGACTTCTAGGTGTTTAGATATTAATTCATAATACGATCTGCCACCTGACTTATATAATAACAACTATTACTGTAATCCATAATTCCCTTCAAAGTTCACAGTATTAACATAAAAACTAATGCGTAAGGTAAGTTTTCTTTCAGGTATTCCTCTTGTGATTGTGGAGTTCAATTATTACATAGTCTAAAATTAATTTTAATAATTTTATTGTCATGGATGTTGCAAAGACATGCAAATATGATTGGAAATGTAGATTTTCACTGTTAGATGGCTGTTTACTAAGAACTTTTTCTCTTGCAGTTTCTTATTTCAATTACAAATCAATAAAAACAACAGGAACATTAATAGCCACAAAAAAATTAAACTAAACTTGTTTAGAATCATTAACTTTAAAAGTGTTGGGACATTGAACTTTATCACATGGAAAGAAAAAGATCACATCACTCAAGAGGGAAATACTAAGATTAAACCAAGTTATGGCTTCCAGTGCTTCTCTCCTGGTGTTGAGATAAGAATTTTAATCCAGTTATGGACTGGCAGTCAGGTATTTTTGAAATTGCCTGTGTGCAGTGTAAACAATGACATTCTCCTCATATTTGTAGCTTTTATAATTCTTCAGATGTCAGATTTTACAAGGTTGGCTTTGGATGTTTATGTTTTTTACAAGATGGCCATGACACCAAGAAAATTCAGACCTAAACAGAACACAACAAAGAATTGGTCATTGCCCTCTATCTAAAATTTAATAAGGATTGAGAAAATCCTTTGTTTGTTTGGTCAGTTCTAGAACCTGGGATTCATGTCAGGATAGAGTTAAGTTTACAAGGTTCATTGTGAGATGAGACTACATGAGTGACCTTAGGGTTGGTGTTGACTTAATGTTGTAAAGCTGGCTTGGATGGATTGGTTGTTGCAATTTTATGGTTGCTCAATCTCGTTTAAATCAACATTTTTCAAAAATTCTTTCATATCACAGAATCTGCTTTTGTCTGTGAATTAAACTCCTGCAGTCAAAGACAACAATTTACCAAAAATGAAGCATGGTGTTGGCAATACTGGCAGGTATATGCTCAAATGTACAAACTTAAGTAAAGATGCAACAAGACACTTTGGAATGGATTCTAACCACTTAGTGCATTAGGAATGAAAAAAAAGAAGGATTTGATATATCCATGGTATACTAGCTGCATTAAGTGTTAACTGTCTACTTGAAAGAAGATAAAAACCAAGATATCAGATGATTATGTATTATTAGTATGGCATACACTGGTAGTGGAAGTAGTGGTGCAGTGTCCAAAAACATTCATTCTGTATGCATGAAAATGTATTTGAGTAATGAAAAAAGTAAGAAAAAATTATGAGATTGTTAAGTTTAATACATTTTTACAGTCTGATAACAATTCCTCAAAGACTAAAATTTAGTGCTGCATTGTTCTTTCCTAAATTATTCCATTTGCTTATCTTGCTGAATCCAAATTCCTCCTCTAGGTAATGGATCAGTGTCAAATGATGATCCTACAATAACATTAACTAGTACTTTAAGAAAAAAATTTTAAGACACTCTATTAATTGTGATTGTTTTAGTGTAGTTACTGTAGTAAATGTTTTTGTAAAGGGTAATTTTTATGAACAAATGTGGGCATGCCTATAATCATTTTATATTTCCAAATCCTAGTGATACCTGTTTGAAGGGGAAATTATGTTTCAAAAGTTTGGCTGACATTAACAACTCACCACTTTCATCTTACATAATTTTTGAAGTAGTTTCAGGTAATGATGGATTGTATTGAAATCTGTATTTTGCACTGAAACTTTGTAAATTTCTTCAATTTAACAACATTGATTCCATTTAGTTTCCCATCCTCTGTCACTCTACATGTGTATATGAGCACGGAAAGTCAGCTTTAATAATAATTTAATGCATGTGATTACTGCAATATCCATAATGAAATTTACTTAAAAAACAATCCATAGATACTTTCAAGCTTTCCTATGACTGCCCCCCCTCCCTCCCATTAAAAAATGATAATATTATATTATTATCTGTTACTCAGGCATTAGTAAACCAATATATCAGATATAAATGTTATTAAATTATCGAGTGGTTTGAAATATCTGAAATCTTCTTATCAGTGTTACTTTGAGACAACAACATTGTTAAAATGGAAGTTAGCAAAATATGTCTTTACAAAGTCTGTTAATATTTACAGGTTACAGTTAATGACAACATATATGTATTGGAGCAGTAATTATTGTGTGGTTATTGTAAAGGATTTTTTTGCAAGAATCAATGGTTGTACTGTATTTAGCTCAATACTAAATCTTTGAAAATGTACTGATCACAATTTTAGTCAGTAATTTACTCCTCTGACCCCCAGAGTTTGTGCTGCTGCATTTGGTTGGGGAATACGTTCCCGATTTTTATCCCAGGGTGTTTTTTGGGTTTTGGTATCAGGCATTTCATAAAGCAAGTCCTGCATTAGCAATCTCTTAATCATTTTATTACAGTGTATTCTGATTACATATGCGCCAGCAACCGCATTGTATTTCAGTAAGTTTTAGGCTATCACTATATATGAAGGGTTTTAGAACCAATGTACTTATTTTGTTAACTCTCATTCATGATCAATAAACTGTGTAACTTTTGATCGATTTCCTAAAATAAAGTTTTTTTTATATTTTAACCTCAATAAAGTTTGAATTGTGTTGTTCCAGTAGATATTGATATTGACTGCAACTGGAAAATTCGTCGCATAAATCGCTAATCTCAACTAACTCCTTGCCCTTGGTTTTCATTCTTGCTCTGTGTATTAGGATAAATGTATACACTATTCACAGCTTGACTGTCATGGGATGACTTCAATATTTCCTAAAACAACACATGTCAATATTCCTTTGCTTTAAGAAACTTGGAGGAGAAGTAGGTCTCCAATTTTGCCACCTGGTTTAGATGGGTTAATACTTGGTAAAGAATTGTGAATATTTTATTAACTTACCGTTCTGGTGCCAATAAATTTCGTTTCAGAGATAGAGCTGTTTATCCATGTGATGCTCTTGCAATGTATCCGCATTTTATGTTTACCATCAGTTGCAGGCGATGCAAATACACGAGTAACTATTTTCTCTCCTGCAGTATTCTGCCATATTGGAAATTTCACTTTCGTAACCATGGTTATGGACACACCTCCGTCACACCTCTTTATTGCTCCAATCAGAGCTTGCGTGTAGCTTTCCCAGAATGCCTTAGCGATCGTAAAGCTCTAAGTTCGTGATTAACGAATTCTTCACTTCAACTTTTTCCATGTAAAACTTAAACGCTTTGTACTTCTCCTACCAGTAGCCGTGAAAGTTCTATGTTGTATTGGAGATCTTGAGCTAGCCTTTCGCAGGGTGGAGTTTTTCTTGCAATTCTTTAGGACCGACTTTAACTCATTCAGTAGAGGTAAGTACAAAGAAGTTCGCAGCTTGGTCAGCGAGGAGTTGTATGAAAATTATCCCTGTCGTTGCTTTTGTTAGTCAGCCTTTCTCGCCTCTCCTTTATTTGTTTTTTTTATTGTTACTGACGCTTATTGATAAAGACTGTTAACGAATGGCAAAATTCTTATTTAAATGATTTTCCTTCGACACTAATTTGTATGTCAATTCTTGGAACTGTCTTTTCGTAATCGTTCCATGTTTTCGCTCTCTAGGGCTTCCAACAATTCAATAAGGAACAAAGTTATTGTGGAAACTGAGATAGCTGGTTTGAGGGGTGCTGTTGGGTAGTACAATGTAATACAAACGCTACCCAACAAGTGAGTGGCACCGATGCATAAATCAGCCTATGTGGTGGAATGTCCGCCACAGTTGGGAAGATTAACTTTAATTCGCATTACTATTATGGCAAGGTAGTCTTGAGGTAAATACCAGTACTGATTTGGTTCTTACTTGTTCAGTAATTTTCCATGCAGACCGTTTCCACTGAAACGATCATAACCCATTTATTTTTGTTTTGAAAGGTATCAAACTTAAAATTAAAAGGGTTCAGTCTAAGTGCAATGTAATGAATCACTTGCTAACTTTGCTTGCTCAAGTTCTACTGAGGAATATTGGCCATCAGTTATTTTTATAAGGGCCTCAGGAAAATGTTCTCTTGTATGGCCCTTGGGCTTGGTAAGAAGTTATTATTTGCAGTTATAGCTGAATTCATCTGTTACAATGACATTTATAAAATGAATGAGAGACAGTTTATTTCATTTTCATATTTTTAGTTAAAAGTTATGGTGACGTAGTGGGTATGGCCACCATGTTCACTGCCCTGGCCACTGCCACTATGTTGTCATTTGTGGCTCTAATTAAACAAATGATGTATTTTCACAGTCATTAACTAACCAATCTCTGTTGGACAGTAAGAAACAAACTTAGTATGTCTTAAATGAAAACATCATACCATGGAAAGTGCTTGAACAATTTTCATCCACTTGTAGCTTTGATTAAAGAACTCATTAGTTCACTGTGCTCACTCTCATTCTCATTTATTTAAATTTTGATGCAATAGAAGGAATTTGTCTATACTTTCTATGTTATAATGTCTATTTGTTACAAATTGAAAAATATTTCTTGGGCCCCATATTGTTTCTAAAATGTAATTTAGTTTGCATGAGCATGACAAATTTAAGATTTTCTTAATATTGTGAAAAATGACATTTAAAGCAAATGTTAGCCAAGTTTGTTGTAATGGCAGCTGTTGTTAGGTTACAACTTACTTTACTTTACTATTTCATTTCTTTCACCCCTTCTTTTTTTATTTATTTTTTTTTAACATCTATTTTATGAGAAAAGAATACTTGGTTTGAACAAGTTTATTAAAAATACTGCACAAATTTTCTATTTGTGTCAGTAAGAAAAGGTTTCGTTGAGGTTATACCGTTGAACCAAGTGATGGTAACACTGCAAAATTATGAACATCAACTTTATTGGAAATGGCTAAAGGGAAAATCATTTTGCATTTCTAAGAGTTTAACAGGAAAATTGTATTTCAGGAAGGTTTGGTGTCACTTTTGCAACTTGGTACAGAGGGGAGTGACTATTCACTGTTTACAGATGCATTCATGACGTTTTGTGGAATCATAGCATTATAGAAGAAACGTTACAGTTGACACTTACCCAAATCACTGCCTGTGTGGGGTGGTCCTTCAGGTAGATCTTCTTCATGTCTTGTGTAAACAGTGAACATTATCTTAATGTCAATTTGAAAAAAAAGTGGTACTCTGCTTAAATTAATGGTAAAGGAAAACAGTGAGCTAACCTAACACAACTTAATTGCAAAGAGTTTAACATTGAAATTTTGTTTCAAGGAGGCTGTGATGTCACTTTTCCAATGTCTTAAAGAGAGGGTAGACTTACTGGTAATTGTTTACAGATGCATGACATTTTGTGAAATCATAGCATTATGGAAGAAGAGGATAATATCATTTTCCAGTTGGCACTTAACAAAATCTCCAGTTGAAGGAGGTGGTTTTTCGGGTACATGCAGATCTTCACCATCTGCGGTATCAACAGTAAACTTATGTAGTTGTCAGTGTTTAAAAAAGGGTATTTTATTGAAACATCAAGGAACAGATGTGTTGTGAAAAATGTTTTGTCTAAACTGATCATCTAAATTATGTTTTTGTCTTGTTGTTGCAGAGTAATTATTTATTGAATAGTAAATTATTTATGATGCATATGTAATTTTACAAACGTTTAAATCTTAATCTTGTTTTACAGTTGTGGTTTAAGTAAGTTAACATTCTGTTGTAAATCTAGCACTTGCCTTCTTGGTTTAAATGTAGACCATATTTAAGAATAAATTGAAATGTTCCTACTTTAATTGTGTTGACGAGTTTGTTAGTAACCTGTGGATATAAAAATCTTAATAAAGTAATTATAAGTAAGTGGTTAAGTGCCTTGTCAAAGATTATTCAAGAGTATGTGTGAGTATTCATTTGAAATGGAAGATGTAAGACTTGAAGTAATCTTTCAAGAATTATTTGTTGCAAAGTAAATTGATAAATGTTAAAAAAAAATATCCTCACCGGGCTTTCTTTTTCTCTTGACCTCTGAAATAACAAATGCCATAATTTCACAATTGTTTATTTCAATTTTATTACATAACTATCAAACAATAGAGGCCAAATAACAACACAAATTGATCCCCTTGCTATTATTATGTCTTGTATCAATATGCTTTCTTTTTAGAAAGTGTAACATAACATTCCTTGACCTTTTCTGATGTCCATAACTTTTAGTCTGACATTAACAGTAATTGAGTGTAAGAAATTGAAATTTGTCTGTTTTTTTCCAAGCTGGGGAAGCAAAGATATCAAAGTTGTCTCATAATTTAACGATATTCACAAAGGTGACTTACTTAACTTTGTTTTATTTGGCAAGGATTAGTAAGCGCTAGTTACATGTAAGTCTTTACACCTTAATATCAGTATGCATATTCTCCATACTGTTCTCCATACATTTCTAAAGAGGCTGACAAGGAGAATTTGTTTAACAGTCAAGAGCTGCTCTAGTTGGTGATCATCTGTTCTATTCTCGTGACTTTCATGTTTGACTCAGGAGTGATCATTATAGTAAGGAGAAGTTAGATGCTAGTCACTCTTAGGGGCCAAAGGATTAATGAAGGGAGGCTTCCTGCACTAAGGTACACTGCACTATTGTTTTATCCTGCTATGTCTTACTCACAAATGAAAGAAAATAAATCAATCCTTATCATGAACAATTCATAACACTTTTATGCCAACTATCTCATGAGGTGTAAGGCAGTCTTTTCATCGCCAGATTGTTGGAAATATGACAATCAACTTAAATGAAATAATCTTGGAAGTAACTCTCCTTAAAATTAAGGCTATACCTCCCACAGCACTTGTTTTATTTTATTGAAAGAAATGAAAAAGGGTAAGATCGATGTATTACCTTTCATCTGCTGTCAGAAAGTCTCTGGCTCTAAGAAAGGTAATTAGGTGGTACTCAGGCTCTGTCAGGCTCCAAATTTTTGTACACTAGTAGTTCTGATTCTCCAAAATCTTGAGGGTTATTCCAGTCCACAGAAACAAACAATGCTTGCTCTGTTTGAGCTTCTTGATATTGGCAATAGTTAAGCATGGCTTCAAAAAGACAACTTGACAATGATTTTTGGTTGAGCATTAAAACAATCTTAAGCTTATTCTCAGCACTACTAAAGAAAAAAAACTGTAAGGTTGTCAGTTGAGTGATCAGTTAGCCCTCTGATCCTGGGAGTGAAAAGGCCACACCATGATTTAATGTAGTTAGCTATTAAAGGAGACCAGCTGAGACAAATTTGAACATGGTAATCTTTTTCTCGTCATGGACAGCACAATTTACAATTTTGATTGAGCCTTAATTAATCTAATATCAATAAGGTTTAACAGCAAGACCTTTGTTTTGGTTTTGGTTTGAAAATGTTAAATGAAAAATAGAAACAAAAAAAAATACACACTTTGAGGTTGGAGAGCATCACAGTCCCAATTAATTTATTACTTTGAATCTTTTTGTGTATTTTATTTTCAGTAATCACAGTAAGGGCAAAAGAGTGCCCAATGCCAAAATTTCGACTCAGTGGAATACAATTCTTGAACAGATTGAGGTTACTTTCTGCAGCCCAAGTGCAGCAGCAAACACAGTTACTGCTGTAGATATTTCACCTCTAATTCTTAAAGGGCTGGCAGAAGAATAAAATCTATGTTTGTTGAGTTCTAGACATCTCTTTTCAGGTTACACTCTGAGCATCCCTTTGAATGGAGCTCCTTGGGTCTAACACAAATATTACAGCAGATCACACTGCCATAATGCTCTAACAGCTGATATGCAGCTGATCTCTGGTGACACTTTCACACCTTTATTACACTGTGATCAGCTGTCATCACAGATATATCTGACTTGCCCATCCATTTTTGCTGATCATTTGACATTTTCTCTTTTTGTCTTTTTAATTCGTGCACAAACATAAAAAAAAATATCTGAAGACGAATTTTTCCTGAAGAATTCATTTCAAGCAGCCACCACATATGATCACTATTTTACCAAGAGAAAAACCTTTGCCAATCAGGAGTATTATGTTTGCTCAATTAGAAATAAATTAACAAACCAAACCTCACATGCCTTCGATATTACTCTTTCATCTAGGTTTCAAATAACTTGCCCATAAAGTAATTTGTCAGGGATATGATTAATAAGAGCAGTGCTCAGAAAAAGAATTGTAGGGATACCCTTTCTTGAAAACACTTTTTGATTATTTTGGTTTTGTTTTTCTTCATCCAATCACTTCAGGGAATTAAACTTCAAACGTCTAACAACTCTTCACCAAAGTGGAGGTGGCTAGTGGTTGATATTTATTCCTGCAACAATTACAATATGTTCGTGGGCAAATCCAGCGCAAGTTGCTTGGAGGTAGATAGCAAAGGCTGTACGGCGTTTGAGTAGCCAATCAGAGGGTGCATTCGGTAAATATCCTCCATTAGCCACCGACACCCACCTGAAAAGTTCAACGTTTATTGGACCGAACGTCCTTTTGGGAAACATATATTGCCAACTGTGAAGAAGCCTTTTAGTTGGGAACTAGGTGAACTACCAAACAAAGTGAACTGCAGCTGTAAAGTCACACTTGTTTAATGGCTCGTATTGTAGTACAACTTGCTAAGATTAACTTGACAACTCAACTATTCAGCTGGTAACTGCTCCACTGCCTACGAGGATGTTGCTCACGTTCTTTTAAAATGACCAAATAGCCTAGTACTATCAGGAGATTGACAGTCGGTCACCAAACTGTCACCTGTTCTTAATTTATGCTTACGTAGTGCCTTGCACAGTAGGTTGTAACCAAACTGCGCTTGTCCAAAGAGATGATCAGCATAAAGACCTAACATCAAATAAACATCGTTAAAATCTTTTTCATGTTAAAAGGTTCGCTGTCCTTCGCGGGTCTCCAGGCCAAAATAAACGAACGTGAGCAATATAAAAATTACTAGGTACAACTTTAAGGAAATTCATGTAACTGTAACATTGATATGTTTACAGAAACACTGTTTAAAGGTAGTTGCGTGACAATAATTTACAACAAGAGTAAACAGTTTGTATTTGGAGAAGGGATAGTAATGCCAACCATGATGGTAATGATTCCATTCAATTGGAATTTTTACAAGCTGTAAAACAATAGCCATTATTATTAGTGTAAACATTGGTTTGGCATGGCTTGGGTTAAAGTAGCAAAAAAAAAACACAAAACTTCAGATCATGGTACTAAATCAGTGATTATAAAAATTCCAGGAAGAAATAGCCTGTGAAAGACTGGTATTAGGTCAAATGAGTGAATATCAAAAATAATGACTCGGCTTCTCAATTAAAAAAGTACGTCCAAAAAGGGAAGATTGTACTTTAAAACAAATCAGTTCTAGCATATGCATATTAATTTGAAGTAGGTCATTTCCGTGTACCCTAAAACCATACCAAAAACAAATCTCTAAACTACTCCAATTCAATAATTCTCCGCGTTTATACTTAAAAGCCAATGCTGAAGTCGAAGCACTTCCTTTAATAAAATAGTTACTTGCATTCTAAAATAAACATGAGCAATCATTCAACTACTTGTTTGATATCAACAGTCAACTTATACAACACCTGCCGATGAAAAACAGTATACAGGAATATTCTAAGTAAGCTATAACAACCTAAAAATCAAAATACCAATCCAATTAAAATTTAATAAGTTGAAATTAGTTCAGTAGATCCCTCCGCTGCCTGTATAAAGTTTGTCCATCCTCGCATTTTTAAACCTAAACTCTTACTTGTTATTAAATTTAAAACCAATATATTTTTCATACCCTGTTAAATCATGTGTTTATTATGTATTCTATCAAGTTGATTATCAAATTTGATAAACTGTTAACAACATATAAAATCAAACCAGTGACTTTTGGTTTGTTATGATTTGTCAAAGAGCAAACTAAAGGATCAAAAAAAAAAAATTCTGCCAACTAACATTCATCTTTTTAAACCTAAACTCTTATTGTTAAAATAGAACCAGATTATTTATACAAACTCCTAAATTTGATTAAGTTACAACATATAAAATTCAACTAGTGACTATGGTTTGTTACGATTTGTCAAACATGTGCAGATAAAAAAAATTTTCCTAGTAACATTGATCTTTTGCTATGCAAAGAGAGCCAGATTATTTCCAAACTCCTAAATTTTGATTTATTTCATGCTGTTTGAAATACAGAATAGTACCGGCCATGGCACTGAAAGGGTTTATCACATCAAGATCCATTCCCATGTTAATCTTAACTGACGGACAATGACAATTGTAGTTTTCATTTATCTTCTTCGGGCAGCGACCATCTATGGGTAGAAAAAGAACAACACCATTGGAAACTTCTTGTATTTTGACAAATAAAGGAAATCACCATGCAGTTTGTTTAAAACTCTGACTGTCCTCTTTACATTTTCCTTGTTTGATCGATTGTTTTTTTTGTTGGCTGGAGTACATTTTGTACTGCTTTATACAGTGGCTAGAAAACTCAACAATTTCTATCCACAATGTCTCAAGCCTCTAAAAGACTTAGCTGTGTTATCTTCTTGACGGGAATATGATGTACAGAATAAAGTAAGGAACCTCGTTATCATCTTATTAGAGTTAGTCAGGTGAGTTTTCTGCGTTCATCCTTGAACGCCCATTCCTATGAAATCGCAATCAGGTTCTGGAGCAAAGCCAAACAATGGCGGCCGCAAAATCTCGTATGAAACAGTCCACAAATATATCTCCTGTGGCTTGAAATGAAATGAAATTTGGATGGGTTTGCAAGAGAGTCTTATTGCAATAGAGAATGCAGATGAATGAAGTGTGTAAAATTTGACGTCAAGACTAAGCACTTTAAGAGTATTAAGAGCATTAAAGGAAATTATCAAAACAAGTTATATTTACATTCAGCGGCGACTAAACTGAATCAGTTCCATTTAGCTCCAGAGTGACATCATCCCCAATGAGAACAAATGGTGCCCAGTACTTTACTTCCCCGAACTCTTCAGACTCTCTCATACATTTCATGGCTTGGTTAAGAGCTTCACTGACCCTCCTTCCTTTAACTAGTTCTTTATAGAAATGTTTCATGAACCGGAAAGTGGCTTCGTCATCGATTCCCCAGAGGGACACCAAAACGGACCGAGCCCCAGCACCTAAAAATGCTCGAGAAATGCCAACCACTCCCTCAGCCTTTATTTCTCCATGAGCACTATGACAGCAACTCAACACAACCAATCTTGCCCGCAGCTTAGCTTCCAATACATCCGCCATCGTCAACAAAAAGTCTTTCTCCTCAGGATGATGGGATTCCTCAGCAGGGTTTGGGGCCAAAATAATTTCTCCTGTATCCATTTTGCCATGTGCGGCGATGTGCACCAAAGCAACCGTGGATAGTCGCTTTAAGACTTCTCCTTTAGTCGCCATTTTTCCAATGAGGGGAGCCGTTCCTAGGATTCTTCCAATCATCTCAACTTCTTTCTTTGCATATGGCAGCTCACACAACTTTCTCCCTTTATAGAGAACTTCCTCTAGGTACGGATCTCCCACGAGAAGGGCGCCTGTCTTATTGTGGCAGTCAGCTGGAGAATCGGTAATTAATTTCAAAGTGGTCAAGGACGGAATCAATCTGATCTTTAGAGACTCGCACAGATACTCCTGTTTTGGGTTCATCAGTGCTGCATAGGGTACCAAACATAATGGACCTTCTGGAACGAGAACGAGGTCATTTCCATGAACCAGGTCAGCAACAGGAGCAATGATAAGGTCAAAAAAGCTCTTTAAGCTTTCCTGTGATGAAAGAGGCCGAGAAATATTGACAGGGGCCCTGTCAGTCGTGCACCCCACCTCACGTGACTCATCAAGTGAGCGATTTTCGATTTTAACGCCAGCACGTACACCAATTTCGTCCAAGGTGGTATGGTGTAGAGTCGAAAGGAAAGTTCTCACGTCTTCTTCGGAAACATAGTCTCTTACCTCTCTTCTCCTCAAGGTGACTTCTTCATCTTTCCTTATGACCCAGAAAATTATTTCTTGTCTATTGAGAGCTATGAAAACTGTTGTCGAATGAATGGATCTAAGAGAGGAACCAGTCGACTTTTCTGAGGAATGAGACCAAGAGTATACGTCTTGACACCCATAATTTTCTTCCATGAGATCTTTTAGAGCCTGCGCCCTTCCATCCTCAGCAACACGCAAGGCATCATTAACTTCACCTTGGTTTAAATGGAGACACCACAAACTATTGTATATATTGTTATACGTATCGCGGTAGCTAATTTTCCACTCGTCATTAAACTGGAGATGAGTCCTTATTTCATTCAACTTTGACAAACTGGAACTAAAGCAGTCACGGGCTTTCAAAAATGAACCTCGATCTTTAGAGATGTGGTTAAGCATAAAATAGGCATTGCCAAGATTTCCATAAGCCTGTCCTTCTCCATCTTTATCCCCCACTTCTTTTGCAATTTGTAGACGATGCTCATGATACTTGATTGCCTTATGAAAATCGCATAACTTCTGATAGGCATTGCCAAGATTTCCATACGCCCGTCCTTCTCCAGCTTTATCCCCCACCTCTTTTGCAATTTGTAGACGAAGCTCATGGTACTGGATTGCCTTACGAAAATCGCCTAAGCTCTGATAGGCATTACCAAGATTTCCATAAGCTCGCCCTTCTCCAGCCTTGTCCCCCACCTCTTTCGCAATTTGCAGACGATGCTCATGGTACTCGATTGCCCTGTGAAAATCGCCTAAACTCTCATAGGCATTGCCAAGATTTCCATATGTCCCTCCTTCTCCAGCTTTTTCCCCTACTTCTTTTGCAATTTGTAGGTCACGCTCACAGTACTCAATTGCCTTATGAAAATTGCCTAAGCTTTGATAGGCATTGCTAAGATTACAATAAGCCTTTCCTTCTCCCGCTTTGTCCCCCACTTCTTTAGCAGTTTGTAGGTGATGCTCATGATATGCGACTGCCTCATGAAAATCACTCAGGCACTGATAGGCATTGCCAAGACCTCCATAAGCCTGTCCTTCTCCAACTTTATCCCCCTCTTCTTTTGCAATTTGTAGATGACACTCATGGTACTCGATTTCCTTATAAAAATCGCCTAAGCTCTGATAGGCATTGCCAAGATTTCCATAAGCCCGTCCTTCTCCAGCTTTATCCCCCACCTCTTTTGCAATTTGTAGACGACGCTCATGGTACTTGATTGCCTTATGAAAATCGCCTAAGCTCTTATAGGCATTGCCAAGATTTCCATGCACCTTTCCTTCTCTAGCTTTATCGCCCACCTCTTTTGTAATTTGTAGTTGACGCCCATGGTAATGGATGGCTTTATGAAAATCGCCTAAGCTCTGATAGGCATTGCCAAGATTTCCATAAGCTCCTCCTTCTTCATCTTTGTCCCCCACTTCTTTTGCAATTTGTAGATGACGCTCATGGTAGTCTATTGCCTTACGAAAATTGCCTAAGTTATCATAGGCAATGCCAAGACTTCCATAAGCCCCTCCTTCTCCCGCTTTGTCTCCCACTTCTTTTGCAATTTGTAGACAATACTCATGGTACTCGATTGCCTTATTAAAATCGCCTAAGATTAGATAGGCAGTGCCAAGAATGCCATAAGCCTCTTCTTCTCCAGCTTTATCCCCCAATCCTTTTGCAATTTGCAGGTGATGCTCATGGTACTTAATGACCTCACGAAAATTGCCTGAGCTCTGATAGGCATTGCCAAGGTTTTTAAAAGTCTCTCCCTCTCCAGCTTTGTTGTTGGGTCTCAACTTTTCGGTATTTTGCAAATTTTCACCTACCCTCCAATATGAAAGAAAAAAAAAGCAGTTTTTGTGAGAAAAAAAATAGAGATAATCCAGCGATCATAAAAGCACAAAAAGTTCCTTCCTTCATTCAAAATAAAGATCCTCATTTGCATTCACCTTCCTGCCTTTAGTCTTATTCAAAATATCCGTATAATTCAATGTAAATAATGTTTTTATTAAACAAATGGCTTATTTGATTGGAGACTTGAGAAATGTGTACATAGCTTGATAGATTACATTGAACTTGACCCTGGATGAGTTTTATTGCAAATGCTTTCCCGGTCCTTACCCACAGCTTATCCCTAAACTATGAAAAAAAAACCAAAAAACAAAAAATAAGTAATCTTTTGGGATATCCTTCTCTTCAAGCTGTCTTAAGGCTGGTTTCCACTAGCGACGGAGTCGGAGTTGTAGTTGGAGTCGTAAGGGCACTTCCGACTGGGTGAAAACTAAAAAACAGAGTCATGAGCGGAGTCATAAGCTCAACGGCCGGAAGAATCAGAACGGCTTCATTTTCTTCTGATTGTGCTTTGGACTCCGATGCTTACGATCAGTGAAAAACTTCTTTGAAGGCAGAAGCGGAAGATCAAACCAGCTGGATTTCAACTTGATTGCATTAATCTGCACTTCTCAATAACGACTCCGACTCCGTTGTAAATGAAAATCAGCCTTTAGGTTATGCCTTATTATCGGCCGTTGAGCTTTCTACATAAGAAATTGATATTGAAGTGAAGAAATTATGTTAAACTCTCCCGTCATAGTTTGAGGATCAGTAACAAATGCTGTTACAAATAACAAATGCTGTGTTTCCCCCTCCTTCTACACTCCACAGAGCACCATAACCTAAACAAACATATCCTAACATAGGTCTTAATAGACCCGAGGGCCGTAAAGAGGTTTAAATGAAAAATTCATCCGGCTAATGGCCTTAAGATTTCTACACCTCTTGTTTTTCAATTTCGCAAACTCGGAAATTACAGATTTACAGATTTTGGGTTCATTTCACCAATTACAGATTTCAATGCAACACCTTTCTATATTTTGCGTAGCAAAATAAACTTCTTTTAAGCAACCTTCTTTTGAATAAACTTCCTTTAAACCGGGCTTAACCGTATGTAAATTAGAAACAGAGAACTTAAAAACTAAATTTTTCATGAGATTAAATTTGTGCTACATTTTAAGTCAACAAACATTGGTTTAAGCAGCTCCTGTGTGGCTACCGTTTCATTTCCGTTTTAATATTACTTCCGGTTTTACACACCGTTGCGTGTCACGAGACAGTCTCTAGGGGATTGCACATGCTTTGACATTTCAGAGAGAGTTTTACCTTCGTGTAGCTGTTTTGGCTCGCAAAACAGTTCTTTGAAGCGACTATGATCGTGAATGTAATGTGATCGTTATTGCGACTTCCCTTTTTTTGTACGTTATCTTGTAACGCTACATTAAAAGCGAAAGCTAGATTCTATAAAGGAAAATAGTTCAAACTGTGTTTGACAAAACATCTTTGAAACATGTTTAAGTTTTGTTCTGAATGGGTTATAAACCTGATACTGACCAATGATGCATCACTTTAAGGAAAATAAGGTGAAAGTATCCACCTAAAGATGGCAGACAAACCCGCAGTTTTTTTTCCGGTTAGGCTCTAACTAACAGCTCTGAAAACCATACAATATTTGCAGCACACTTAAGCTTCTTGTTTCCCATCTTCGAGTCGTTGTATTAGGTTTGCTTTCAAACAAAATTTAAGGTCATGATCTTTATTTACAGTTAACTTGCAAATATGTAGCTCTAGTCTAAGCAAGAAAGATTTCATAGTAGAAAACTGCTAATGTTCACATTCAGTGTTTTCAAACCTGGAGAGCTGTCTTGTTTTCGATCTTGATCTCTCTTGCCTTGGGGAACCTCCATAGCTGAAAAATAACACAAAGGAAAATATTATTTGTCTTCGCCGAGCGCTTCAGCGATCAGTTCATTTACCGAATTTATCAGTTGAAGTTCAAGTTAAACATGCCACAATACGAAAGGTAAAATCGGAGGTTTCTTTGGACACCTTTATCTCTAATAAGCTTCATTCCCTGATAATTTGTCCCTTACATGACAATCTTATGTTCAAATTAAAGAATTTAGCTGCGGCACAGTTTGAATAACCGTAAATATAAAATGGGAAAATTCCCAGCTGAAAGCGACCGGGGGCAGAGGGAATGTCCCTTCATTAAGTGAAAATGGAAATGATTTGAATCAATATTCCAGAGACAGAAAGAGGGATTCTCTATCGATTGCAGTGATTTGGTAGTTTTACTCAGTGTTCTTTGATTATGTCTATCGCTGCCAGTTACCTATTACAATTACAGTGACCATGGTGAAATATTTTTAAAACCGAGTTAATTTGTATACTCTTCAATGCGAGTCAATGTGACTGCACAGACGGTCAATTCAAATTACGAACGTCTACACAACGTGGAACACACTTACATGCGTTAGACATGATTAGCAGCCGATAAGAGAGACAAAAGCGGTAGATTTGCGAAGACAAGCAACCTACGGAATTGTTACAACCGCTTGATCAACATAACAACACCTCTCTTCCTTGAGTTCATGACACGCTTGGTTTGTTCTGAAAATGGTTTACATGCCAGCATAGCGAGCTCCCGAGCCGATTTTTTCACAAGTAAGTCTCTTTCCAAAGATTTTTACAATAGTCTAAGCGCTCAGAAGTTTCTCATCGAGATTTCTGACAAAACGAAAGGTATTGACCTCGCGCTCGAAGGTTTATCGAACTGATCTTGAACCCTTACATTATCTTCAGACTCGACTAACTTGATCTTGCTTCGCTTTTGGTTTACACTAGAATAAGATACGACTGTACACACGATGATAGTTACACTGAAGCAGGTTGTTCGGGGGCATCTCCGCAATTGAGGCTACTGCAAACGACAACTGTCATCAAAACATCTTCTAAACCGCTGCACTTAGTCTTACCTGGAACACAGAGGCAAGGATTCAACCAATCTGTTACTCGAAACTCTGGAAAAATTCACCCACAACTCGAGTTCCTTTCTTTCGGCTGATGCGCAAAACTAGATGATTTGTAGATAACTGTAGAGCACTTTTACAAACCAGAAATTCGAAAAGACGAGAGGTGGAAGACGAATGACCTTTGATTACTCGCATTCCTTGGTTCCTAGAATTTTAGTATGAAATCGTGACATTCTCTTAAGTTAAATAATCATATGACGTCACAACGGATATCAGGTTTCCTAACTGTTGACGCGCCACTTGTTGAGGTCTTTGCCGTACTCTTCGGTTACATTCCTCTGACTCATATTTATTCAGTGGGTAAGTTTATCTTGGTAAGATCGTTGTCATTTTCATGATTTTCCGAATAGAAGATAAATCAAACCGACAAATTTTCCCAAAATAGGAAACCTGTTTAAAATTCTAATTCAGTAGATTAGAGACAAGTCAAGGACCGGGCGAGTTAAAGTCAGTGGTCACTATTTCCTGATCCACGGCAACTCTTTCGCTAATTTCCATTATCCGAGAGCGTGACAAAAATTAAGGCTGACATCAACCCCGCTTCCCTCCCCACCCATTAAAAATAAATGGAGCATTTTGGGCGATCTCGGCCCTTTCTTCTTTAAAGTTCCACACTGAATGCGTGACTGAGCCCATGGGCAGCAGAAGCTCGCACAGTGAGCCTCCATAACTATGCAAATATGCTTATTTTGTTCAACGGCCGAAATATGAAGATTTGTCCGAGCATGAACTGTTGTATACTTAACCTAGAAATTTGAAATGCTTTTGAATAAATGACAAGCTTTACTTGCCTTCATGTTGTTTGTTTGTTTGAATTTTGTGAGCTTTTTCAGGCTGATTTGCAGCCGTATAACAAGTTTTTAGTTCCCTCTCTTGCTCCTCTCAACATCGAGTTAATCTGCCTCATAGCTGCCTTGAAAATCCGAAAAAAGAGGGGTCTTCACTTTGTTTTCCATCAAAACGGAATCAGACTTTTGAGTTGAGAATACGACCATTCCTTCCGATGCAAATACTTTAAGTTCCATAACACAAACACATCGTAAACTGCCGATCATAAGCTTTTCGTAAGGGTCTTAGGAGGGTTATAACCGAAATAGAAAAAAAGCTGTAGCAGTGCTGATCAAGATACGTTTTGCATTTACTCGTTGTGTTTTTAATTAAACCTTTAGTTCCCAGAAGTGATTCACACCAAACTTCTCCCCACAATATCCAACCACTATCCAGCAAAGAGTTAATGAGAATACTCAAATGTATCAGGTAGGAGTTGTTATCTTGATCTAATACCAAATTCTTCTACTAATTTATAAGGTAATGTGTAGCAGCCAGATCCCGGG